TAAAAGGTATGTAAGAGGAAAGCCTTGTTCACATGCAAAAGGTAATGAAAATAGTTCTATCAGTTGGACTTCTTCATATATTTCTTCTGGGCCCAGTATTTTCACTGTAGTCACTAATGAGTAAATAATAAAATAAAGCATGGGCTTCTTAAAAATAAAGATGGAAACAGGCTTAGAGGTTTCACCAATATGTTACAGAAGAGAAACAGAAAGAAAATAATCTTGAAAAAACAGAATAATCAGCAGAGATAACCAGTGGGATCAAATGCCTAGATATCAGTTCAGCAGAAGTTTTGCTGTTAGTGAAGAACAAGTAAAATATGAGGCAACAATGCCATGCTGCTGCTAAAATGTAATCCTGGCATTATATGAACAGATATATAGCCTGAAAAACAAATAATTCCTCTGATCAGCTTTGGTAGAGCCTTAGATGTACTATATTGTTCAGGACAGTCAAGACAAGTACGGGTTGTCTGAAGAAATTAAGAAATTCCAGGAAAAAAACAAACAAAAAAACAAAAACTAGAATTTTAGAAAACATGTACCAAAAAAAAATTGCCATAGTATATCTATCCATATCATCTATATCCATATCATCTATATCATCTATATCTATATCATCTATATATCTACATCTATATCTATATCTATCTGTATCGTCTATCATCTATATCTATATATCTATAGCATCTATATTTATCTATATAGTGGGCCTATAGGGATATATATCTATATCTATATATAGGGGGCCTATAGGGATGTTGGGGTTGGACTATTCATTAGGCACTTTAGGGACAGGACAAGGGGTAATGTGTTAAAACTTAAACAGGGGAAGTTTAGATTGGATATAAAGAAGAAGTTATTTAATGTAAGGGTGGTGAGGCACTGCAATGGGTTGCCCAGGGAAGTTGTGAGTGCTCCATCCCTGGCAGTGTTCAAGGGCAGGTTGGACAGAGCCTTGGGTGAGATGGTTTAGTGTGAGGTGTCCCTGCCCATGGCAGGGGGTTGGAACTAGATGATCTTAAGGTCCTTTCCAACCCTAACTATTCTATGATTCTATGATTCTGTATCTATATCTATATCAACATATATAATTTTTTTGAAGAGATTTTTGCGATAACATTCTTCTGCTCTTCCTATGAAAGGAATGTAGGGAAAGACTTGACTTAAATGATTTAAATTACCCAGGAGATGATCAGTAAGAAACTGATTCTACAGATATTGATGCACATGAACAGATTTCCTGGGTATGGTGTGGACTATTTGATGTGTGAACTTAGAAGAATATGTTAGACCAGAGTTTTTCAATTATGACACATTTAAGCATGTGTCATTTAAGCCCTCCTGACTCGAAGAAGTAAGTGCATTAAATAATCTCTCACAGTCTCTATCAGTCAGTATCATTCCATGAAAAGATTGGCTACAGATACTGACAAAGAGTTAAAAAAAAGGTCTAACTTTTCATATGGGGATTAAAAGTCTTTTGTTATCATCCCATTTTTACAGCATTCTTTGTATATAACTCTTATAATTTAAGTACATGCATCTCTTACATTTTATGGCGTCCTTGTTTAATTTGCTCTTCCACTACAGTACTGTGGTGTGTCAAATCTCATGACTATGCATAACCAAAATCAGTTCCCACCATGTTAGGCATTTCACATACACATATCTTAAAAAGCTTAGAGTTTAAAGAAATAGTACTAATTGGAAGTAAATGCCAGTATTATCTGTTGATTTTTGGTTTTTGTTTTTTTTTTAAACATAACACTGAAACAAAAATAACTGAAACATATATGGAAACTTTAAAAACTAAAGAAGCTGGTTTGAGTCTGAGTCCCTAAAGACAAGACCCTTTATCTTTTACAAATAGATGTTGTAAAATAAATTCACCCACAGTATTCATAAAAATGAAGTTAAAGTGCATAATCAAAACTTGTGTGTTTAGTTCCTCAAACTCTATAATTTTAATTATGTGAAAATTTATGTTCTTTTCTACACACCATCTTCATTGATATGCCCCAAATAAGACAATTCAATCTCATATTTCTCATTATATAATATAAAAAGAGTGTAAAGAATATCACTGAGTCTTTGCTTCTGGAAACAAACAGTGAATTAGATACAAAATAGACTTAAAAGTAGTTTTGAATAGTTTCCTAATAGCACTAAGTATTCTCTAGTGCCACTTGTCTCAAGCCCATCTAAGTTGGTATGTTGATTTCTCTTCACATGACACTGTTTTCATGACAGGCTTCTGGCATTACTAAAGGAGTTGTAATAATACCTTTTTATGTCCTAGGCTCTTAATCCTCTTGTTATAAGAGAGTACAAAGAATTAAGAGTGTAATTCACAGAATCAAACATGGATATATAGTCAAGGAGATTGCTGTCGAAAGCGTCCTGTTACCTTTCTGGTGGTGTTTGGGAATTATGTATCAAAAACAAGACAGAGAGTAATTAAGAAAGGAAGACATTTGCCTTGTTTTATGAACCCTCATCTAAGAGGCTTCCTTCTGAAGGAGAAATTAGTTGAAAAGATTCTTTCCAAATACTTACACTGTCCCACATGACATCCTTGTCTATGAACTGGAGAAGACATAAATTTGATGGATGGACCACTTGGTGGATAAAGAATTGGCTGGATGGCTGCACACAGGTGCAGTCAACAGCCCAATGTCCAACTGGAGACAGGTAATGAGTGGTGTCCCTCAGAACTTGGTGTTGGGGCCAATCCTGTTCAACATCTCTGTTGGCCATATGGACAGTGGAATTGAGTGTGCCCTCAGCAAGTTTGCCGATGACACCAAGCTGTGTGATACGCTGGAAGGAAGAAATGCCATCCAGAGGGACCTTGACACACTTGTGAGGTGGGCTGATGCCAACCTCATGAAGTTTAACCATGCCAAGTGCAAGGTCCTACACCTGGGTCAGAGCAATCCGAGGCACAGCCACAGGCTAGGCAGGGAAGAGATTCAGAGCAGCCCTGCAGAGAAGGACTTGGAGGTGTTGGTTGATGAGAAAATTAACATCAGCTGACTTCTCACAGCCCAGAAAGCCAACCGTATCCTGGGCTGCATCAAAAGGAGCGTGACCAGCAGATTGAAAGAGGTGATCCTGCCCCTCTGCTCTTGTGAGACCTCACTTGTAGTATTGTGTTCAGTTCTGGTGTCCTCAACATAAAAAGGACATGGAGCTGTTGGAGCAAGTCCAGAGGAGGGCCATGAGGATGATCAGGGGGCTGGAGCACCTTCCGTATGAAGACAGGCTGAGAAAGTTGGGACTGTTCAGCCTGGAGAAGAGAAGGCTGCGTGGAGACCTCATAGAAGTCTTCTAGTATCTGAAGGGGGCTATAGGGATGCTGGGGAGGGACTCTTCATTGGGGACTGTAGTGATGGGACAAGGGGTAACGGGTTCAGACTCAAACAGGGAAGTTCAGGAAGATATAAGGAAAAAGTTCTTTACTGTGAGGGTGGTGAGACACTGGAATGGGTTGCCCAAGGAAGTTATGAATGCTCCACGCCTGGCAGTGTTCAGGGCCAGGTTGGACAGAGTCATGGGTGAGACGGTTTAGTGTGAGGTGTCCCTGCCCATGGCAGGGGATTGGAACTGGATCTGAGGGTCATTTCCAACCCTAACCATTACATGATTCTATGATTCAGTGATTAAGAACTAATACAGGTGTTTCTTAAATATTTTGTCAATGATATGTCTACTATATTATATATTCATTTCCTCGGGCAGGACACAAGAACATTTTGAAAAGATGAGTAAAAAGTTTCAAGATACAGAAAACTAAAAAAAAACCCTAAGATTAATTAATCTCAAGAATTAATTTTACAAAGATTTTTTTTTCTTTTTTTTTTTTTTTCCTGCAGACTCATTGATGTATTGCAACAGAAGCATACATAGGCATATGTTATTTTGCAAGTGAAGTCAATAATTTCACTCTTCAGGGGTGTGTTTTTCTCTCTCGCCTGTTTTCATAGTCTAAACAGAGCTAATAGAATGATTACTGTACTGTAGGAAAAGCTCAAATATACCTCAGAATTGTTATTTTGGTTTGCTTTTTATATTAGGATAGGAAAACAGCAGTTGGAAAAACCCCACCCAACAGATCATTTGTGCATTCTATTACAAGCAGATGATAGGTGCTCTGACTAATATTATGTAGGTAATATTGTCTGCTAAAAGTTTTGAAGAAAGTCTGATTATGGCCTAAATTAAGCAGAAAAATACCAATATGTCTTTTTTTGTATGTATTAAAATATGAAGAATCTGTGTATTTCAACATATGCACAGTTATATGTTTCTGTGTATATAAATATAGATAGGCAAGCCAGGAAATCAGGAACACTATTCCAGAGTACTACTGCCTTTTTATTCAAATATCATGTTTTGTTCATATGTCCTGAACTCTGTGGTTGGGGCCACAACACTGTAATAAAACTTACATTTCTGCACATTTCAGCCTATTGAAATGCCAAGTAGATGGGTCCCAGCTTCTTTTCTGATTTGTATTTCTTTTTTTTTTAATATATTTTTTCATTGCTTCATTTTCTTTTTTCTGGAAAAAAATACAAATAATGGTATTGCCTTTTTGTCTTTTTATAATAATACTAAATTGGAGGAGACCCTGGTGCAGCTCAGAAAAATACATTTCCCCTTTGCATGCAGGAGAAACTTAGATAAGATTCCTTACCATTACGATAACAGGCAGTCTTTCTGCCAGAGACTGAATTCCAGCATCATTTTAGAGTAAGCAGAAACTGTAATTACTTCTTTTCCACTTTCATAGCTGTTTTTCTCTTCAGGAACAGAACACTGTTAAAAACTTAATTAAAAAATTAACCAAACAGAAACCTCATGTCATATACAGCAGACAGATCTCAGAATATCAAAACTCAGTCTAAAGCTAATCTAATGTTGTCCTGGGTTCAGCAGTAGCAGTCATTTTTCTCCTTCTTGGTAGCTGGTGCAGTGCTGTGTTTTGACTTCCAGCCTATGGCCACACCACCCTGAAAACGCTCGATCTCGTCTTGATCTCAGAAGCTAAGCAGGGTTGGGCTCGGTTAGTACTTGGATGGGAGACCGCCTGGGAATCCTGGGTGCTGTAGGCTTCCCATCTTCCCACATTACCCACCAAGTATATCCAGGTCCCTGAGTAAAAGCAATCCCACGAGTGGGTTTGCCTTTACCTGAAGCAGGAATAACCCAGACTGTCTTCCCCAGCAAATTCTTCTTATGCACCACGGGAACTTTGTCCCCTTCTACAGTGTGTAAAAGTTCTGACTGGGCTGGGCCAGCCCTGTTGGCAGCTCCTCTGGTGTTGACCAACCAGGTGGCCTTTGGTAAGTGTGTATCCCAATGCTTGAAAGTTCCCCCACCCATTGCTCTCAGTGTAGTTTTTAACTTCCCATTGTACTGTTCGATTTTCCCAGAGGCTGGTGCGTGGTAGGGGATGTGATACACCCACTCAATGCCATGCTCTTTGGCCCAAATATCTGTAAGGTTATTCTGGAAATGAGTCCCACTGTCATGGTTTAAACCTTAGCCAGACAGCTTGTTCACTCACTCCCAGTGCGTGGTGCTGGGCTGAGAACAATCGAGGTCCCCCCCCCGGGGCTCTCCCCTTCCCCGCTCCCAGAGGGATGGGGAGGAGGATCGAACGAGTGCAACTCCCACAGTTTGAGACAAGAACAGTCCAGTAACCAATGTACAACACAAATGACCACTGCTACCACCACCGACAACAATGATAAGAGAAAATAACAAGGGAAGAGAATACAATACCACCCGCCAACAAACGAGTCCCACCCAGAAGCCCCTGTCCTTCCGTGCAACTCCCAGTTACCCCCCACCCCGGGCATGACGTGCTGTGGTATGGAATACTTCTTTGGCTAGCCTGGGTCAGGCTCCCATCTTTGTTTCCTCAAGGCTTCCCCTCCTCCCTGGCAGAAAATGAGCCTCACAAAGTCCTTGGTCAGGGTAAACATCACTTAGCAACAACCGAAAACATCGGTATCACCAGCACTGTTCCCAGACTGGAAGTCAAAACACAACACTGCACCAGCTACCAAGAAGGAGAAAAATGACTGCTACTGCTGAACCCAGGACAAATGTAAAGACGACTGGGCCTCAAACACAGCTATTACTGATGACTGTTTCTGTAAATTATGTTGCGTGCCTTGTGTTTACTGTGCACATTTTTAAAAAATCCTTTAAAGTTAGGTGCATTTTTGTGAGTTCTCCTGTAAGTTTTGTTCCTCTATAATAATAGTCATCTTTTTTAAACTTATGGACAGGGTTGGAGTCTGGAAAATTTTCAGATGGCAGTGTGGAATTTTCAGAACATTATTAAGAAATGGATACATGGATATATTTGGAAAGCCAAAATGCAACATGATAGGAATGTGAAGCAAGAGCTTCAGAAATAAATCTTTAACACCTTCCAATAACTGTATTCCTGATTATTTATTTTATTTGGATTTGTTTTATTGGGGCCAACTATATCTTATTAAGTTTTAAAAAAATCAGCAAATATAAAAAATAAGTCAAAATTTAAAACCTATGATTCATGTTGTAAGAAGTGATAATAGAACATAGAAAACTTATAAAATTCTCTAATTTTAAGTCCCTGATTTGCTTTATCTTTCAAATTGCTTTTCATGCTGATTTGTATAATGATGTCTTACCTTTAAGCACCTTTTAAATGAGTCCTTCTTATAGACAGTTACTTTAGGCTTGTTTGAAAATTAGTGGAAACTAATATGTGTTAAATGCGATCATTCTATTCTAATTCGGTTCAATGTGGAAGGGTCATTCTGAAAAGAGTGTTAACAAAAACTAATAGTAAATGGTTCAGATGAATGTGTTGAATTTAGGTGGCTGAGAGTTCTTATTTACTAATTTATGAATTCTGGTTTATGAAATCATCAAGGCTTTGTATACATTGTCAGAGCCTTAGAAAACTGTTAATCTCAAAATCACAGTATCACAGTATCACAGTATGCTAGAGATTGGAAGGGACCTCGAAAGATCATCTAGTCCAATCCCCCTGCCAGAGCAGGAACACCTAGATAAGGTTAAACAGGAATGTGTCCAGGCGAGTTTTGAATGTCTTCAGGGAAGGAGACTCCACAACCTCCCTGGGCAGCCTGTTCCAGTGTTCCGTCACCCTCACTGAGAAGAAGTTTCTTCTCAAGTTTAAGTGGAACTTTTTGTGTTCCAGTTTGTACCCATTACCCCTTGTCCTATCACTGTTTGCCACTGAGTAGAGCCTGGCTCCATCCTCGTGACACTCCCCCTTTATATATTTATAGACACTAATATGGTCACCCATCGGTCTCCTCTAAACTATAGAGACCCAACTCCTTCAGTTTTTCCTCATAAGGGAGATGCTCCACTCCCTTAATCATCTTAGTTGCCCTGTGCTGGACTCTCTCCAGCAGGTCCCTGTCCTTCTTGAACTGAGGGGCCCAGAACTGGACAGAATATTCCAGATGGGGTCTCACCAGGGCAGAGTAGAGGGGAAGGAGGACCTCTCTCGACCTACTAACCACCGCCCTTCTAATACACCCCAGGATGCCATTTGCCTTCTTAGCCACAAGGGCACAGTGTTGGCTCATGGTCATCCTGTCGTCCACTAGGATCCCCAGGTCCCTCTCCCCTACACTGCTCTCTAACAGGTCGTTTCCCAACCTATACTGGAACCTGGGGTTGTTCCTGCCCAGATGCAGGACTCTACACTTTCCCTTGTTATATTTCATCCAGTTATTCCCTGCCCAACTCTCCAGCCTGTCCAGGTCTCGCTGGGTGGCAGCACAGCCTTCTGGCGTGTCAGCCACTCCTCCCAGCTTAGTGTCATCAGCAAACTTGCTGATAGTACACTCAATTCCCTCATCTAAATTGTTGATGAATATATTAAATAATACCGGTCCCAGTACTGACCCTTGAGGCACTCCACTAGTTACAGGCCTCCAACTAGACTCTGCCCCATAGACTACAACTCCCTGGCTTCTCTTCTTCAGCCAGTTAAATCCCATGAAATGATTGATGAGATGATTACAAGCCCAGTGGAAAAAGGAATCTCTATTTTGTCATTAATTCTGAGATCCTCTTTTAAAGAATTTTTCCATCATGTGAATATTTTTAAAATGTGTACGTTTTTGTTGATGTAAGTTCTTCCGGGTGTAGTTATCTTACTTCATTAATTTTTTATTATTTAGTCTTCTACATTTATACAGGCTTGGTATATTATTGAAAACAGGCCAGAATTAAAATAGAAATCATCAGTTCTAGCTGGATAAACTTTGCAGTATTTGTAACCTTTTTAACAAATATACTCACTCGGTCTTATATTGTTGTTTATAGTTTACTATAAATATAATACCTCAACATTTTGTTTCCTATTACTGCTGATAAGTACTCAGTAAGATTCAGTATCAAAGGGGAGTGAGCTGTACCACTTTTATCAGAAATAACTGATTTTCTTAAAAACTCAATAGGGGCAAAAAAGCAGTGTCATTCTTCTGCTAAGCCTTTTGTCACATGTTGTGTATCGTCACTTCTGTATGACCTTTTTAAAATGACGTTTCTTTTTGATCTCTACGTTGCATTAGAAATTGATTTCTGAGAATAAAAGAACAATTCTTAGGTAATATAATTAGAAAATTTTTGAGAAGTGGCATGCAAGGAAGAGTACCAAATTTCTTATAACCCTGTTTAGACTACCATAACTTGTCTTAGTATTATTTTTGTGTGTTGGCTTATCAGGTCCCAAACAATTTAACAGCTTTGCTAAATTTTCTTTGCTAAAACTGCAGGCAGTCAGCACTGATGAAGCTATTTTAGCCTTGCTTTTTCTGTGACAATTAGTTTACTAATAGGAGTTTCTCCGATTTAATTTTACTCATCTAAAAGAAAGACATCTTGCCAACCTAATGGACTCAACAGTTGAATATAGTTATTTGAACAAAAAAGATGTGACATATGCTGCACAAGATGAGTCCTCTGTCTGTGTTATAAAAGAACATGCATTAATTAAACAAGTGAAAGCAGAAATTCATTATACAGTCCAAAGACAGCTTCACACGGTTATACAGGTGCCAAAGTGTCTGGCATTCAACTATTTGGATGAACCTTGGATGCTAGTAATCAAACAGTGCTAGTGTTAACTTGTTGTGCACCATAGAATTGAAGGTGGCAAAATATGTTTATGAACTAAGAGTGTGTGAGCAAGCGTAATACTTCAGCCACTGAATATTTGTGCATATTTTAAGTATGATTTCCTTCCAGATCAGATTTTATACCATCTCACTATGATTTTGTGTTTTACTTCTTGCATAACAACCTTTTCTGTTTATCATGTCAGGAAAAAAATACGAATTACAGTAAGCACCCAAAATAATTGTGTTCCTACAGTTTTGTAAAACGCTATCATTTGAACATCATAGCGTTCACTAGCCTAAATACCACCACCAAACTACTTTATGAAAAAGCAGAATATGTCTTTGAAGAGGTAACAGAAAATCTTGTAATTTAACCCAAAATACAAAAATGCATTAGAAATCAAGACTCACTAGTCCTGGTGCGCACAGGATTGTTTGCTTTTATTACAGTGTGATTTTTCTCTATATGGAAGAGTTTTAACTTGAAATTAGAATGTTGACAGTGAAGTCTTGGTTAAAAAGTAACCTCCCTCTGGTTATTGTTAGGACTTCTAATTTGTAATTGTTTGTAAATCACTGTAATGATTTCTAAACTGAAAAAAATAGATTTTAGGAAGTATAAAACAAAAACAACTGAAAAAAACAGTTGTAAGGAGAATGTAAACTGATACCGTCATCATGGCAGTTTAATCCATTTTACTTTACAACTGCATCAGTTTAGAAGCATTTTCATGGACAGTTACTGTATGTCAGCTGAGAACAGAAATATCTTAAGAGAGGTCAGCTTGTGTATTTGCTACCATCTTCCCATATCCTAAGACTGAAAATTTTAAATGAGTTTTTCTTTATTGAATAAAATAGAAAAATGGAAAATGTTAGTTGTCTTACATTATCCAACATTCTTGATTTATGTCTAGGTTAGTATCTGCACACCTAAAAAGTTATGTGAA